CCAGATTCACTTAACAATCATGTTACTAATTTAACAACTGCAGTGATTCACTTAACAAATGTGGCAAGAATGGTCCTAAAATGGGGCTAAATTCACTTAACAAATGTCTTGCTTAGCCACAGAAATTGTAGTTGTAAGTCAAAGACTACCTGTATTCCATCCCTTTTTTGGTGGGAGACTGGCAGGAAAAGGACATAATGCCTCAAACTGATATTCTGCCTTTTACAGTCACTGTGGATATGTTGAAAGCATGGGCAGCAAAGACACTAATTTTAAGGAAGACAGACACATATTTTTCTTTTAGTTGTTAAGCATTCTCATATTATAACGTTTCCCACTAGGGAGATACGGTTGAAGTGGAGAAGATAGTGATGATACCATGTAAGATCACAGATAACTGGATAAGTCCTTTATGTCATAAGGAGTTGAAACAAAAAAAAATGATTCACTTTAAAAGACAGCTATTAAAGATAGAGAAGAGGACTTGGAATCAGAAAACCAGCTCTCTTTGGATGATCTTTGGCCAAGTCACTTCTTCATACTTTTCCTTTCTTTGAAAGGTTGTCAGAAGACTGTGGCTGGGAGAAGACTGAAAAAAATATTCATGTGAGAAAAGGGACAAGGTATTACAGTGAGTGACAGTTTGTTTATCCCTTAACAGAGAAGTTCTAAAAGATAGTGGTACCCGAAAAATACATGAAGGAAATTCTCCAGTTGGCCCTTGACAATCCCTTGAATGGACATCTAGACAGGGATTAGATTCTTTATCTAGCCTAGGAAAGATTCTATTGACGGGGCTTAGCTAGAAATAATGCTATTGATGACTAGATTGACAACTGATGTAACAAAAAGGATTATAAAATAAGCCACCCCAATAATTCCTCTGGTCCTTTCACCATTTACAAAGATGGCATGGATTTGGCCATGTCACTTCTGAAAGTGAACAAAGCACATTGATGTATTCCATTTGTATATAACAACAAAATTCAGTATCCTAAGGCAGACAAGCTTGCCAAATTAAATAACTGGTAAACTATCCAAAGTCTTCAGGATGGAAATCCCTGAGTTATATTGATAGATCAGGAGATAAGCTTTGTTCATCAATATTAAAACATTTCTAAACTATATGGGATTAAGAATGTAGGCACTAATCCACAGGTGTCAAATTTGCCAAGTCATGTTGCCATCATATGTTTTGTGACATTTTTCTCATTTGCGGAGCTGGGGTGGGCGTGGCCTGCATGTGACGGATCCAGCCCATGGGCCGCCAATTTGACACCCCTGTACTAGTCCACATCATCCTCAGTTTCCTGCTGCTTACCCTCTGCTTGAATACCTACAGTGAAGATCTTATTATCTATGGAGATTCTCAGTTATCCAGGTCATGGTTGTCTCAAAGGTAATTTTTCAAGACGCAACGGACATTCTTTATTTTTCCTTGAAGAAAAGAAAGAAACTTCATTCAAGAAACTTCTTCATTTCTTTTTCAGTTCAGTCTTATCATGTCTCTGGATAATCAGTTCCATTGCCAAGCTGTTCTTGCCATACGTTTTTGTAATATTTAATGAAAAATTGCCTTCCTGCAGTCTATATCCTTTATTTCATGTATTGTATTTTGGGAGTGATGGGCAACATATATCGTTCAGTTGTTTTGATCGATACAGTTTCTACGTAAAAAATAGGCTGCTCATACATTGGAGAATAATTTCCTAGTAATCTCCTAGCTAAATACTAACCAGATCCAATCCTTTTCAGTATCTCACATCAGTCAAGGTTAGTGATGCCACCTAGCTGTTCCATCCAAAACCCACATTCTATTTTAAATAATTATCTTCCAACAATATGATCATAGTTGCTATTGCCACCTTCTGGAATTTTTCAGTTCCTGCTAGAACCATGAGATTTTTGATTCTCCTATTCAAATATTAACCTTGACTGTTTAATGCTTCTTTTCCCCCAAGAAGATAAATAATTTATCAGTGATAAAACGAACTTTAAGAACAGACTTCCACACCACCAAATTAAAACATTATATTAGATTATCCGAGATGCCCATAAACACTGTACAACGTCCCAACTTCTGTTTGCTTATAAGCTTTCCCTTCATTTTATTCCTGAAAGGAATAAAATTCATTGATCAAAGAAGACACTCTAAAGAAGTCTTGATTAAACCCCCCGAATCTTCGTCGCATATTTGTGAGAGAATTTCTTTATTTCCCTCTGGAACCGATTAGGCACCGATTTGATCAGAGTCCCAACTGAGCTCAGCAGAAAATCAAAGCCAGGGTACGTCCACCCGATCACATTTTTTCCTCCTTTTTCCAAATCGATTTCCCCCACTTGGGCGGCTTTCAACGTGTGCTGGGGTTGGAAATTGGCTTGGCCTGGCGAGGACGCCTAATGCAAAGCAAAGAGAGCTCCGTCAAATAATAATAATAATAATCTTTTTATAAAGCGCTGCAAAACCTCCGCCCATTCCCCACCACCGAAGAAAAAAAAAAAACCGGGAAGAGGGGAGGGAGGACGGGGGACGGACTCGCGCAACGATATCGGCGCAAGGCGAGACACTGGGATTTTTTTCCCAGATTTTCAGGCTCCCGGCACGAGGGACCATCCCTGGGCGGAGAAGTCGGCACCGCCTCCTTCCTCTTTCTTCAGGCGAACATGGCTGCAGCCGCTGTCTGCTCGGCCGTGAAGGTAAGGCGCCTTTTGCCGCCGTTTTCGTCAAGCGGGGAAAACCGGTTCCGCGCTCCCTCGGCTTTCTCCGTTTGGGGAGGAGGTGGGGGGACCTTCAACACCACCACACCACCGCGGGAGACGGGGGGTTTTCCTCGGGGCTCGCTCGCCGCTGCAAAGAGGCCTCGGCACGAGGGAGAAGCTCCGAACACCGACTCCCCGCACCTTTTGGCCGGCCTAAGAATCAGCGCTTATCTCCGCCGGCGGCGGTACCTGGCGGCGCGGGAGGAAGTGGGGGCAGGGGGTGGAAAGCTTCCGCTGTCCCGGGCTGCAAACCGAGGAAGCCCGGCTGGACGCTGGAAGATTTACTGCAGAGCAAAAGCGCGCAGGTATGAGTTGTGTAAACGTTTGTTGCTACTGCGGGCTGGAAAAAGGGGAAGAGAGCGCGCCTCGATCCCGGGAAGTGAGATTGTGGCAAGAAATCCGGTTTTCGAAAAGGGTTTGTAAGCTTGCCACGGTTGATCTCCTTCTCCTGTAATCTCTTTTTCACTGCATGTGCTGGACTTTATTCGACCTCTTTCCCCACCCCCTTTGATCCTTCTGCGGCCATTAGGCTGGATTTTCTCCAAATTTTCAGATGAAAAGGCAGGAGATAGATCGTAGGACTGCCTGCCTGCCTCCTTCAAGCAAAATGCAACGGGCAGAGAGCCCCCCAACCTCTGAAATTGGGGATCAACCCAGCGTTGAACTGGAGGCTTTTTTGGAAACATTGGAAAGCAATACGGGTAGTTCTCCACTTTCAATAGTTTACTTAATGACCAAAGTTACAACGGCAATTAAAAAATGACTTACGGCCAGATTGTTGTGGTCACATTCCTGAAAACTGATTCATGTTTATGATGGTTGCATTGTCCTTGACTAATGGGATCCCCTTTTGGCGACCTTCTGACATGCAAACAAGGAAACCAGATTCACTTAACAACCATGTTACTAATTTAACAACTGCAGTGATTTGCTTAACAAATGTGGCGATACAAGTCGTGGAATGGGGCAGAACTCCCTTAACAAATTTCTCGCTTGGCAACCTAAATTTTGGGCCTCGATTGTGGTTGTAAGTTGAGGGCTATCTGTACAGTGGAAACAAAGCCCTACCTGTGAAATTGATTTTTTTCCTGCCATTCTTCTGATGCAGAAAGCATATCTGAATAAAAACAAATCGCTATACCAATACATAAAAACTTAACAAAAACTAGCACCTATACCTAAATGTGCCTAAACCCAAGTAATTTTCTTGGGTACGTACCTTCATGGAAATCTCTTGTCTATTTTGACATATGTATATGATTTAATTTTCCAGATTGGCTCTACTGATATTTCCCTATCTTAACCAGGTTCAACCCTGACTAGCTTTTCATAATGTGCAAGGTTGCTACCAGCAAAAATTCACTTTTCAATCAATCAGAATAGAGCTGGAAGGGACCTTGGAGGTCTTCTAGTCCATCCTCCTTATACCATTTCAGACAACTGACTGTTCAGTCTCTTCTTAAAAACTTTTAGTGATGAAGCACCCATAACTTCTAAAGGCAAGCTGTTCTGGTTAATTGTCTTCACTGTTAGGAAGTTTCTTCTCTCATTCACCAAGGAAGCCTCTATAGTCTCTTCCTTTTGTTTTTTGTGATCAGACACAAATATATTTAGTTAGGCAAGTGTGTGGTTTATAGTAGTGAAATCCCCTAGCCTGTCTTATGTTACAAGGAAGTCAAAAGACACCATTTTGGAGAGCGTTGTCCACCTTGCCAAACTGTAGTTTCATCAGTCAAACAATCCATAGTTTGAGGTTTGGATGGGAGAACATAGATTACACAAATTTGTCAACCCATGTTCTTATAAGACTGTAACATGAAGTTGCCATAGATTAAAATAGGGCTTCATGGCTTATCTCCCTTTACAGTACAGGTAGTCCTTACCTTACGATCACAATTGGCCACAAATTTCCATTGCTAAGCAAAGCAGTTGTTAAGTGAACTTTGCCTCATTTTATGACCATTTTGCCACAGTTGTTAATTGAATCATTGAAGTTGTTAAGTGAATCACACAGTTGTTAAGCAAATCTGGATTCCCCCGTTGACATTGCTTGTTGAAATCCAGCTGGGAAAGTTAACAAATGGTGATCATTTGATCATGGGGATGCTGCAGTGGTTGGAAAAGGTGAAAAATTGTCATAAGTCACCTTTTTCAGTAGGTCACTAAACAAATGCTTGTAAGTGGAGGACTACCGGGATCAAAATGCAGAGTGTCTTATATGGTATTATCTATTAACTGGAAGCGATTAAGTCAGTGATGTTAGAAAATATTTTTGAGGGTAAGACTCCATAATAAAGTTGGTTATATCTGGTTCACCCTTAGAAAACAGAAAAACAATTACTTTGCCAAGCTCATGTCATAAAGATTAACTACTGCATGGGAATTTTGAATGAGTTTACATAATTCTTATCCCCTCTGTCTATTGCTTTGTGGATTTCTTGTTCAATCAGCACATTAATTATCAAATTCCCATTATGCGATAAGATGTTACACAGAATCCATGGCAAATATCAAAAGATCTTGCCTTCTGTGCTAATGAAAGAAAAATTCTAATTATATATAATGTCATAAAACCATATAGTTAAAAATAGAACAGGATATTTTAAAAACTTCTGTAGGATCAATATCAAATAGGGATTTGCTTTTTTAAAAAATATCTGTAACACAGTCAATGGCTTCTTTACTAATTTGATTTTCAAGCAATGTTTCAGGGAATCTTGCCATTCCTAAACTTCTGCACAGGGTCTAGAAAAAAGTAGCCTATCCTCCCTTAAACATGGTTTATTTACTGCTCTTATGTTCTAAGTAAATCTACAAGTGGACTGTACTTCTCTGGAGAAGCATGGATGGTGGAGAATCCCAGTAATATACAGAGTCAATGATGAAACAACGTGATAGAGTGGTGTTGGCGAACCTTTTCGGCACCGAGTGCCAAACCAGGAGAGCAGCCACCCAGTGCACATGTGTGCTTCAAGAAAATGATGTTCCAGTTTCCAGCACACGCACGCACCCCGGCCACCTGATCTTCCGGTTTCTGGCATGCATGCGCACGCTAAGATCAGCTAGCTAGCATGCCGGAAACCGGAAGAGCAACAGTGACAGCTTGCGTGCCCGGAGAGATGGCTCTGTGTGCCACTTCCAGCACGTGTACCATAGGTTCGCCATCACAGTGATAGAGGATAATTTCCATATCACATGAGTGGACAATCTTTGGTTTGGAAGTTGTAGCCATGTGCCAGTGATTTGATCAAGGTTGTGGTTGTGGGGAAAATAGGAGAAGGAAGGTATGTTGGCTATGTTCGCCATCTTGAAGTATTTGTAAAAATAATAAAGGTGGTATATACATAAATATTTTGGCCTAGATTTTTAAAAGTTTTATTTTAAGTTGAGTTTTTAGCTTTCTTGAGGGGCAGTTAAGAGGCAAATTTATTGAAATACTCTCATTGTATTTCTTTTTCACTGTTTATTTTATTCTATTCTTTTACTTTCTTCTGTTTACACACCTTTCATTTTCTTCCTTTATTATTGTAAGCCGCTCAGAGTAGCACCATAGTGAGATAGGCAGCAAATAAATTTAAGAAATTAATAAGGTTTAAGACATCAACTTTGCCAAAAGAGCTAGTTGAGCTACAGGTGAAATGCTATGGTCTGGGGTTGCCCATTCTATCTCATGTAGTAGAAAGATCCAGAAGCTACTTCACTAATGTTACATAAGAGCCTTCTCCAGACTTGGTGCTTCTGGGATGTGTGGATGTTTGGGAACTGAAGTCTACATATCTAGCATGTGTCTGGTTTAGGGAAGACTGCATTAGACACTTCTAGAAGTTTTTCAGTTTTTAAGAGCAGAGATATCCTGTTCATTCGATGAAAACATTACCAGCATTGGTTGATTGGGTCATCTAGAACCGAGAAAAGAAATAAGGGGGCAGGCCTGTTCCTCTCAGTGTTGTTGTTCAATTTGTTCTTCTGGGCTTCTGGCAGCTTACAAAGGAAGTGAGGTTTTGATATCGTGCCTGTTTTGACAAGAATGTCATATAGAAACTCTTGATGCCCATCTGTTTCTAGTACTTTTCCCATCTGTCCTGCATTGTGATTAAGGGAGTAGCTTAAGGCTAAAGCAGGGTGGGTTTGATTTGAATCACAATTTAAATCACTAGTAAAAAGGCTTGATTTAAATCAACTCGATTTAAATCATAATTTTTAAAGAGCAACTCTCATCTCTGCCCCGCAGCAGCTCCCCCTCTTATTTGCTGTTGACTCACTGACAGTTCCAATATTGCAGGATATACAGCCGCATGCTACATAACTACATGCTCCATTTCCTGCTGAATAAACTAAATTATTAATGTATCTTAAATAGAAAACTATCTTTAGATAGATTTTACTGCAAACACATTTTATTAAAATAAATTTAATAAAAATTAAAAAAATCTGATTTAAAAAAAAGCTCATCAATTTTTATCCACACTGGGCTAAAGAGATGTGTTAGCTAGCCATATCAAAATAAATAAAACAATAAAGAAGTTGTGATGTTAGTGGTACATTCATGAAGAATTTATCCTTTTATATTGTCTCCTAATCTGTATTTCTTCTTTGGAAGATTGGAATTATCGGAGGGACGGGTCTGGATGATCCTGAGATATTAGAAGGTCGAACAGAGAAATACATTGATACACCATTCGGAAAGGTGTGTATAGGTAACAATGCCATTTTTTTTATGCGTGTATATAGTATGTTAGGGAAAACACCTGAAATAGTGCTATATTTCCAAGAATTCCTCATAGGTTTCTAGGAAAAAAAATCCAATACCTTTGTAGCTTGACTGGATTTTTAATACAGCGTGATTAACATTTTCAAGGGTTGAATGAAGAAAGATAAGGAAGTCCTCATAAAACATTATAGTTCTCTGAATGATATCCACCATGTGTTTTTCGGGTGCCCATATATTTCTAATCTCCTGGCAAATGGCTCTGATTTCATGGCAGCTGGCTATGGGTCCACGAATTCAGCTCCTTATGTACACATGAAAAAGGCTTGTACATAATGGGGTCTATTTAGTGGAGTAGGTGTATTCACAAAGTGTGACTTCATATAGATTTCAGATTTATTACATTTACTCCTCATAGAATATTTCTCATAGAATCAGAGCTCATCCTGCTGTTTAATGATGATGCAAAATTGTCTTTCCGGAATGTTCTGTACTTTGAATTAGTCCCATACCATTCACTAAGAAACCCAAGCAGTCAGGTCCCAGAATAGCCATTACTGGTTGGTGGCCTGTTGCTATCGATCTTGTAATTCTGCTGTCTCCAACCTTTCCAGCTCGGCAGAGATGGTGGTGTGGCGGGGAGAGGGGATGGTTTCGTGTGCATGGGCATGCTACTTCTACAAATGCAGCTTTGTGCATGCATGTGTGTGCTTGCGTGCTTGCACACCAGTTCTATGGCCCAGTTGCAAATGGGCTACTGCTTAGCACCAGGATGTGGACTGGGGGTTGGGGAACCCTGCTGTAATTGTAATATTCTGAAGAATGTACAACATGACTTCGCAGTTGTTTTTTGTACATCAAAGTCTGTCAACTTATTGAGATGTATTTCTGCATGTGATTTAATGTGTAGGATTGTAGTGCATAATGGATTTCCACTTCGATTCTGCATTAGTGGCAATTCAGATTTTTTAAATTTGTTGGTGGGGGGTTTATGATGATTCTGAAGTATATATTTGAATGTGTATTGTTTTTAATTCCAGCCATCAGATGCACTGATTTCAGGAAAGATAAAAAACGTTGACTGTGTGCTTCTATCCAGGTATGGGAAATTCCTTTAAAACACATGAATTAGAGTTGCATTAGAAAGTGTGATGTGCCATTTATCATAATCAAGCCAAACCTTGAAGCTTGCTAACTATGCAAATTGGATTGAGAGCTGTTTGGCAAGTAACTAAGGAGCTCTGCAAGAGTTTCCTTGTGCCATCATCTCTTCTTGCTTCCTAGAGCAGTTTTGCTAACCTTTTTGTCGTTGCGTGCCGAAAGCACCCGCACCCATAAAGCAATGTGCCCTGCGTGTGCATGCGCAACCCCCATCCCCCCACATGCGCACATGATGCCTTTGCCCTCCCACATGCGTGCGCAGCTCCTGCATGCACCCTGACCCCTTCACATGCATGACACAGACCCAAAAATCAGCTGGATGGCAGGAGGCATACATGCATGCATGGTGGAGCTGAGCTGGGGTGACAGCTCGCATGCCCGCATAGAGGGCTCTGCATGCCACCTGCCATAGGTTTGCCATCACAGTCCTAGAGGCTGACCAATCAGGCAGCTGATAGAAGGCATAGTATGGGTGGTGGGAAGTAGCAACTTTCACAAGAAATTACATAATCACCACAAATTGGCCATCTCGAGGTTGAGGATTATATCAATTACTCATGAAATTCTTCCAAATATAGGATTATATACTTTATAGAACTGAGACACAATGGCTCCATGGTTAATGACATTGAGCTTATCAGCTGGAAAGCTGACAATCCAAGACTTGAGTGCCACGTGAAGGGTGAGCTCCCATTCTTTGCCCCAGCTGCGGCCAACTTAGCAGTTTGAAAAGATGCAAATAGATAAATAGGTACCACTTTGGTGGGAAGGTAACAGTGTTCCATGCCTCTCAGTATATAATCATGCTGGCCTCAGGACCATGGAAATTGTCTTCGGATAACAGTGGCTCCCTTGGTTAAGGAACAGAGATGAGTACCACCCCCTAAAATCAGACATGACTGGATAGGGGAGACCTTTGCTTTACTTTATTGAATGGATTAAGTTTCTTAACTTATTTTTTTTCATTTTCTTATGAGCTTCCTTGCCAAATGAACTGTGATTTGGGATAGAGAAACCTAAGGACTGAAAAAAAAGTCCCTTATGGGTATAAGCATGATAAAGGCTCTTAGTCCAAACACATTTTTTAAACAAAATCTAATATATGAACCAAGAACCTCATGACCTGCAGCTGATGTCTGCTCATCTGGCCTACAAGGTGAGTAATATAGATAATGTGGACGATTCTGGATTGACCAATCTAGAAGCTTTTCCTTTTAGCTTACTCAAAAAGCTGCTTTTTCCCCCGTGCTTCAAATTGTAGCTGTATCATCAAGCACTAATAAGATAGTTGAGGGATTCTGAGAAGGGGCCACCATGTTTAGATCACAGTTTGACTTCTTGTCACCCTGGTCTTGGTGTCCAGTATTCTCCTCAACTCACATTTGCATAAGGTTGCGATAAATTATCTGTAGCTCCAATGAAATTCAAAGCCCTTAAGAAAAGTGCTCTGGGGTATCATTTCAATAAATGATCACTTTCATTGCAATTGCAATGAAGTGAATTGTAATTTTTCTATCCCACTACGCTTTCTGGATGTGCCTATTGTCCTGTTGCTCAAAAAGATCAGTTATGAACCTTCAACTTGAAAAAAACCTTCAGCATCTTTAGCTGAAATGCGCCAGAGCAAATCACGATTTGCAACCGCTTCCTGATTGCAGTGCAGATTTAACTGCCCAAGTAGCTTGTCCCATTTATTATTCTTCATTGTTATATTATGTTTTTAGGTTTAACCAGATTCCTTCTCTTTTTTTTTTCCCTAGGCATGGGAGGCATCATTCTATCATGCCAACAAACATCAATTTCCGTGCCAATATGTGGGCACTAAAAGAAGAAGGTTGCACTCATCTATTAGTGACTACTGCCTGTGGCTCATTACGAGAAGACATTCAGCCTGGAGATCTTGTTATAATTGACCAATTCATAGACCGGTAAGGAGAGTGGGGGGTGGAATCTGGTTCTGTATAGAGTTAGAACCAACAGAAATAGAATCAAGTCAAATTTGGCAAGAGATTCTGCTACTTTGATATAATTCCAAAAATCCACTTCTGTCAAATGCATTAAGCACTATTTTTAATCAGTAATGGCAAGCGCATTGTTTTATTCCAATAAGAAAGCCAACCTCTTATGCAGAAGTATGTACAGGAAGAGGAGGATAGATCTCGGGATTAAGAAACTGCCATACATTACTCCATATCACCATATGATGATACCTCACCCCAGAAAAACAATCATCATGCTGCCTGCTTTATTGAAAGACTTCTGTCCTTTGGCAGTGTTGAAAAAAGATTGCACTATTTGTCTTTCTCCATTGTGGTGGAGATAGCATCCAATTGTCTTTTTCTCCTTCTTAGAGAACAAAATGTCTTGGATAAGTCTATTCTGCTGAGATTTGCCCAGCTCATCTGCCAAGTTTGCAGAAAAGGAAAGTACAAGGGTGGAGAAGCAAGAGACATCTATGGTTAGGAGGAGAGAGTAGGTGGACAACACAGGGAGAGAGGTTGGAAGCTTTAAAAGCATCAAGATGTTTTGAATTGATTTTTAAAGTAATTGGGAAATTGACAGTCCCCCTCTTTTTGCACTGTTTTACACTGACTCTTTAATTTACTGTTGTTCATAGATGCAATTTATTTTTAAAAACCCTGACTTTTCTTAATTTACTATTTTTCATATATGTAATTTATAAAAAAATATGAATTATTATTAAGCCAATCACAAGAAAAATGTGTCATATGTCTCTTTAAGGTTTATCTGTTTAGCTTTTAATATATCTGATGCACAGGAAAGGAAAGATTTCTGCATTTTTTTTAGCCTAGTTTTCTCAGCTAGGTTAGACCAGCATTCAAGTCACAATACAAACTATGTATTTTGGTGTTACCATCACTTGGCCTCTTTTTCCTCCCTTTACTTCTGCACAAAAAGAATTACTGTTGGAGGAGACAGCATCAAGAAGGGGGGAATAAAATGAAAAGTGCAATTGACTTGTCAGATTTCATTTATTATTCGGTAGAAACAAATACAGTATTTATTAAAGAAACTGGAATGGATCTTGAATGTTTTTATAAAATGAACTATTCTATTATAAAAGCCCAGCTCTACAGTCAGTCCTTAGTGCCTGATTTCTTCCACCCTTGCCCATAGACCCAATTCATGTTTCCTGCAGTTCACATACCCAAACCCATCTCTGTCCGGCTCATCCCAAGAATGACATAGTCATAGAACAATCAAACCAAACATCAGGTCTTTATTTTCTTACATCATATAGACAGAATCTTACCAGACTAAAGGTATAGTGATGGATTGTGTCTGTGAAGGGAGAGGTGTTGTGATGGACTACAGTGAAGTGGTAGGTTCCCAAGAAGGAGGAGACACATTCTGGCAGGGGGAGGGGGAGCGAGGCCAGAGAACAACACAGGCTGGAACTGCATTGAAGAAAGAAGAAGAGATTTAGAACAGCCATTCCCTAGCCTCTCCTCAAAGGAGCTACCCTGGGAGAGTCTAGGCCAGTGATGGCTAACCTTTTTGTCATTGCATGCCGAAAGCATGCGCACACACCCATAATACAATGAATGCAGCCCCCACACCCCGAACCCCCCACACATGCACACGCGACCCACCCTCACACAACCAGATCCCTGCGTATGCGCGTGTGACCCCTGCACATGCGCCCCACACATGCGCATCAGAGACATGAAAACTAGCTGGCTGGCGGGAGGCGCATGCGCGGTGGAGCTGAGTTGGGTGACAGCTCGTGCGCCCATAGAGAGGGCTCTGCATGCCACCTGTGGTACACGTGCCATAGGTTCGCCATCACAGGTCTAGGCTGTGGCTGTCTTAAATCTCTTCCTCTTTTTTCAATCCAAATCCAGACTGTGTTGTCTCTGGTCTCACTCGCCCCTCCTTGGAATGTGGTCTCTCCTTCCTGGGAACGTATTGTGCTTCGTTGTAGTCCATTACTACACCTTCCCCTTCATAGACCTTTCCATCACCATCTGTCATATTTTCTGCATCCTTTCTTCTGAAAGCCTGGCATCTTATATCCCCAAACAATCCTATCTCCTTATCCTACTAATATAGATAGTCCTCGACTTATGGCAACAGAGCCCAGAGTTTTTGTTGCTAACCGTTTGCCACCGTTGTTAAGCAAATTGCTGCAGTTGTTTAGTGAATCTGTCGTCGTCCCCACCCCACCCAAAAAAAATTGATTTGGGATGTCAACTTGGCTGAGATTTTGGTTGGAAGAAATGAATTGAATAAGTTTCCGGGTATTAAAATACAGGTAATCCTCAATTTACAACAGTTTATTTAGTGAACATTTGAAGTTACAAAGGCACTGAAAAAGTGACATATTGTTTTTCACACTTAGAACTATTGCAGCATCTCCATGTTCATATGATTAAAATTCAGATGTTTGGCAATTGACTCATATTTATGACCACTGCAGTGTCCCAGGGGTCATGTGATCACCTTTTACAACCTTCTGACAAAGTCAGTGGGAAGAACAGATTCACTTAACAACTGTTGTTACTAAATTAACAACTGCAGTGATTCACTCAACAACTGTGGCAAGAAAGATAGTAAAATGGGGCAAAACTCACTTAACAACAGAAATTTTGGCTCAGTTGTGGTTGGAGGTCGAAGGCTACCTATAGCTGGCAGAACTGTTTATAATGGCTAGACTTCATAATATCCAATTTTAAAATCCTGTTTCTAAAAGTTAACATTTGCGATAGTTTTCTTTTTTCAACTGCTCCTCCAAAGGCTACATTTTGAAGGGAAGTTGATGGGATTCTAGTTTAAAAGTACACATCCCATCACAAGAAATCTAAGCAGAGTTCTTGAGCCACATGCGAGCAACTGATTTAAACATACACTATATTGCCAAAGGTATTCGCTCACAATTGGTTCTGATTATTTGGATGGGTGAGTGAATACTTTTGGCAATATAGTCTAACTTTGGCTTCTTGAAAATCAAACCATGAGCTGAAATAATTGATTCCCAGAATAAATGCTAGCTGCTGAAGAAGGCTGTAATCCAAGAGTAGCTGTAATTGAATTCGTTTATTGTCACAGCAAGATTTATGCAGCTTTATTAATAAAATAAGCACTGCATCGCATTATTTTTTTGTTGCATGAAGTATGGTGGTATCTTCATTCCCCTGTCCCACAGTCCTGTTGTCAATGCTGCAGCTGTACATTGTGACTCCTCCCTAATGCCCACCCCATGTTAGAACTGCAATTCCCAGAATCCTAGTCATTACGGCCATTGCCAGAGAATTCTGGGAGTTCTATCCCATTGGAGTGGTCTTATCATTCTGTTGCAAGCCTGCATATTTCTCATATGCCTCATAGTTGCTAAGAACTTTGCAGCAAAGCTATTGAAATGTGTTTCTTACTCATTTAGCAGAGTCATTTGTCAAGAGGCCATATCTTATTGGCAGGAGTGGCAGATGTTCCTGTTCATTCCCTATAGATTGCATTATGAGCGGCCACCTGATCCCTTCCAGATGTTTGGATTTAACAACTCTTCCCGTTCTTTGGTAGTGCTGACAGGGTTGGTTTGAGTTGAAGTTGGCAGGAGTGCATTGAGGCTATTTTTAGCTTTACTCTTCCCCCCCCCCCTGTCCATTTGCTATGTATGTTCACAAATGTTTTCAGCTGAATTTTGCTAACCAAATAGCATTCTTTGTGCATTTTAAGGCACAACAAAGTCTTCATGTTTTTCTTGCCGGTTTTGTTTTACAAATTGAAAAGCATTTTGTTTCTTTCCATTTTTTTTTCTTCTGGTCGTCTAAGCATCAGTTAAGATGATGGTTTCGTTTCTATTTAAGGCCTCTTTCTAATTGTGTGTCCGAATGTATATTTCATTTTTCCCCTAGAAGAAACTATAATTCTGTTACTGTGGTTGTCCAGTATAATTTAGGGAGGAAAAACACCTGTTATTACAATCTTCCCAACTGGAAGGATGTGGGTATGTTTTGTTTCCATAATGTCTGGTTTCAGTTGGAAAGTACTGTTTGCCCTGGTTCGCATTAATTTGCCTATGACAATATTATTTCTTCTAACCTTAAGGATACAGGTAGACCTTGACAGTTTAGTGATTGTTTGAAGCGACAAAAAGTGACTTATGACCGTTTTTCACACTTACGCCCATTGTAGCATCCCCATGGTCACATGATTAAAATTCAGATGCTTGGCAACTGGTTCATATTTATGACAGTTGCAGTGTCCCCTTTTGTAACCTTCTAAAAAGCCAAATCTAGTGGGGAAGCCACAAGATCCTAAACTCTTAACATTATTACCATGTTTCCCCGAAAATAAGACAGGGTCTTATTTTCTTTTGACCCCTGAAATAAGCACGGCCTTATTTTCAGGGAGGTCTTATTATTTTTGAGGTGCAGGAGGCGGCAAGCATGGTCAACTCATGGCTGCTGCTGTGTTGCAATATTTTTGGGGAGGGCTTATTTTCAGGGAAGGGCTTATTTTAGCGCATGCACTCAAAAGCCCGATTGGGCTTTTTATCCAGGGAGAGCTTATTTTCAGGATAACAGGGTATGTGTTTTTTGTCATCATACATTAGCTATATTATATATTTTAGATGCAGCCCAAGACAATCCCTGTTCAAGCAAGGCAAGCCAAAAGGATGGACATGCATGATTTACATCGTCTTCACTGATTAGTATTGTTGTTTTTTCTTTGCAGGACAACAAAGAGGCATCTCACGTTTTATGACGGGTCTAATTCCTGCCTCCCAGGAGTGTGCCATGTTTCCATGGCAGAACCTTTCTGTGCCAAAACAAGAGAAGTTAGTAAATCTTATATTATGGATGTTAGTCCAGGTCATCCTCAACTTACCACCATTTGTTTAGTAACCATTCAAACCATTCTGTTAAAACAGCCTGAGTGACCTATGATTGTTTTTCATACTTATGACCGTTGCAACATCGCCATGGTCACGCAATCAAAATTCAAATGCTTGTCAACTGAGTCATTTATAACGGTTGCAGTGTCCCAAGGTCATGTGATCACCTTTTGCAGCCTTCTGACAACCAAAGTCAATGGGGAAGCCGGATTCACTGTACAACAGTGTCACTAACTTAACAGCTACAGAGATTTATTTAGCTGTGGCAAGAAAGGTTGTAAAATGGGGGAAATTACTAAGCAGCTGTCTCACAACAAAAATGTTGGGCTCAAATGTGGTCGTAAGTTGAGGACTACCTGTATAGGATCCACTCTGTGATTGAGCAATGAATATTTTCCCACCATTTTCCTACCAGTCTGCTACTAATATATGCAGTTAGATGGATACTAGATAACACATATAGCCCCTTCTTTGCTGTACATAATCGTGCTAGATGAATTATCATCTTGCATATGGTTGAAAATTGCACTAAAGCTGGTTCTCCCTTTAGTTATTTGTCATGTCAAAAATTATAGCAGTGAGATAGTTGGGCAGTCAGTAATCTCTAGGTCAGTGTTTCTCAACCTCGACACCTTTAAGATGTGTGGACTTCAGCTCCCGGAACTCCCTCGCTTACATACTGACTGGGGAATTCTGGGAGTCCACACACCTTAAAGGTGTCAAAGTTAAGAAACACTGACCTAGAAATTACTGACTGCCCAACTATCTCACTTATGATTGAGAAATATTGCAGTAAGTAATGTAAGATTCCCCAAGGTCTCTATGACTATAGTTCTCCCTGTCTCTTCCCCATTTGCCTACCTTGATTGATTGATTTGGAAAATTTATATTCACTCATTCTCACTCGTTGTGACAAAAGATGGCTTACAGGAAATAAAAACACAATATAAAAGAAAATAATAATAAGAAATAAAAATAATAAAATAACCCCCACCCTGGCGTCAACACACACTCACTCATACCAACTATTTAATGGGCTTCATCCTGCTCTGGGTTCCCCAGGCCTCTTCAGGGCCTTCCAAAAGAATGTCAGAGTGGGGGCTAGTCTAATTTCCAGAGGGATGATGTTCGGGGAGGGGACAGCACGGAAAAGGCCGTCTGAGTCCCGCCAGATGTACCTCGTTAGGGAATGGGACCCACAATATTCCTTGTCTCCCCGCTCTAGCGGGTCAGGAAGGATGTGATGGGCAAGAGAGAGTCCCTCAGATAACCTGGTCCCAAGCTATGAAGGGCTTTAAAGGTGACAACTAGCACCTTGAATTGCACTCCACAAAACCATGTGGGCTGCTGCATTTTGCACCAACTGAAGCTTCCGGATGCTTTTCAAGAGCAGCCCCATGAAGAGCACAGTAGTCAAAATGGGAGGTGACTAAAGTAGGGATTTGCCAACATTGCAGGTGCTGCTTTTTTTCTGCAAAATCCAAAAATCTCTTGGAAAGACATGGAAAACGCTTGGGATAGAAGCCAAAGCATTGAATTTGCTATCCTGTACTAAAAGGAGTCTGTGGTCTTAAGCCTTGGAAGAATGAGTCTTAGGAAATGAAAGGCAGGTTAGCCATAGGACATTTTCCATACAGAAATCAGAGCATCCAATATAAGGCCTTAAGCACTGAGAACAAGCTGATCCTCAGCCTTGAAGAAATAGCCTTGCAGAAACATCAATGGCCATGATATAAGTTAGGAGGGAAGGAAGCAAGTAGGGAGAGAACAGATATTTTAATCTTTCCTTTTTTAGAATCCAAATTTTGTCAGAATTGTGAGGTGGTGAGGGGGTTGCCTTACCCTGGCTTACGCCATCAACTGCTATAAAGCAAACAGTGGATATATCCATCCATGTTTAGATTTTCAGCATGTGGCAATATGATTTACAAATATGTTTGAGCTATGAAATAAAAATAACATAAGAATTGCATTTCCTTGAAGAAATCTATGAAGTGATATATATTGATGATTTAGATTTAGGGGTTATGTTACCTGAGCCTTCATGATAACAATGGGCCCCAAGGGCCTGCCGTGTGTGCCCAGCGTCCTTCCAATTTTATCTACCTCAAATTCTCAAAGCAGCAGAAATGGAAGAATGGGGAATAATGCTCACATTTCAATTAAATATCAACTTCCCTTTTTTTTCTTAGCCTTAGCCTCTTGATTATTCTATTTCCTAGCATATCATTTCCAGGTCAGATGAGGCTGCTATTGGCTTGACAGAAAACCAAGTATGTTCCCAGGATAAATAAAGCAATAACTTCTTTTTAAAGCGTTAATCTATTAAGTTAATGAATTTTTTGTTGTTGTTCTCAAAGTACTTTGTACTTGAACTTCATTACAGGTCCAGGAAAAAATTGAGATAATAGAGATGACCTTGATATTCCTCATGAGATATTAGTTAATATTTGGAGGGGACTCAAATGACACACCAGAGGAATAAAGTAGTGGTGGCTTTTTATCTCCCTTGATTTCAGGTTCTTCTGGATGTTGCCAAAAAGCTTGGAATCAAGTGTCACTCAAAGGGAACAGTAATTACAGTGGAGGGACCACGTTTTAGTTCTCGGGCTGAAAGCTTGATGTTTCGCAGCTGGGGAGCTGATGTTATCAATATGACGACAGTCCCAGAAGTCATTCTGGCAAAGGAGGCGGGAATCTGCTATGCGAGTATTGCTATGGCAACAGATTACGACTGCTGGAAAGAACATGAGGAAACGGTGAGTGAAAGTTGCTGTTTTCCTTGGGGGTATGCGCTTAGCATAAACAAGAAAATTGGAACGATGCTACTTGCCAAATAGCTTGGCGGAGCTATTTATTTTCTGTATATCACTTTTTATATGAGTCTCTCTCCCAAAAAAAAAAAAAACAGATGGAAAAATTACAAATGCTGACAATCTGTGTGGGGCTCAGTTTTTTCCCCACACGTCAACCTTCAGTTTTCCAGATGTGAGAAGAAATGAATGCATATGACATATTTGTAAATAATGTATGCATGTCTTGTACATTGTGGTCGTGTATGTATGCTTGCTACAAACTACACAGCCAGAAAAGAGCAGTGTGCATGTGTGAATACGTTAAAAGTGTACAAACCAAAGATACCGTATTTTTAGAGTATAAGATGCACCAAGATTTTGAAGAGGCAAATTTAAAAAAAAAACATTTTTTCACTGTGCAGACCTCCCGTTTTTGTGAAAAACGAGCCCATTTTTTTTTGACAAAAAAAAATGGCATGCATAGCCTCTAGGAGGCTTATAGAGTGGTCCGG